CCAAAGAGTTTAGTGATCAGCCCAGCTCTGTCAGGGCTAGATGAAACTTGATATGTACCAATAAAGGTACAATGGTAAGATGTTGAGCTTCTGGTAGACATAAGAGCAGCAAGGACTCTATTTGACCTTGCAATCTTTCAATCCTTCTGAGAGGGACCATAAGTATGGTCACTGAATTCCGACTTCATTGGAGTGAATGGCAACAGACTAGACATTGAAGGAGGAGTGAATCTTTGGCTCAATCTAGGATGCATTGCCTATTTAATAAAAGTAGTCATTTATGATCTTGGTTCTAGAATTGGCATCCTCAGATGGATGAACTGTGGAGTTTGTCCACCAGTTTTGTCTGTGCAATGGGTGAATTGATGTTATACAGAAAAATCACCCATTAATGCTCAAGTAGAGTCCAGGAGTAATGGACTGTACGAGTGTATGTAGCAAAGGGAATGACAGTACTTCCATGTACACAAGTGGTGTTCCATGGTTTAATCAGACGAAGTCTAATGATACAGTGCTGTGTAATTCAGTCTTAGTAAATAAACTGTTTCATGTCCAAATGCAGGCAACATTAGATCAGGCAGTAATCTGCCTGATAAGGGATGGAGTCCTGATGTTTCTTTGTAACTATGGTAATAAGAACAGTAAGTGAAGTGGAAGTAACAATGCTACGGTTGCATCCATTGCACCACAGCCAAAGACAAATTCTTGGTTCAGTTCTACTGAATGTTTGGAAATAAACGTGTTTTAGTCCTACAAAGATAAATCCCGAGAAAGTAAAATCTGTGGGATTATACACATCTACTATTAGAAATTCGACTGCTACCTTTTCTGAGCAAGTGCGTACGCTACTTTTTATTTTTGTTTGACTGAAAATAAAGACTGTGTTCACTTTTGCTACATATATCTATTCTCTTTATTTCACACACACACACACAAGGAAAACACAGTTACGTTTAACAGATTCAGAATTACTCCTGAGCGAATCTGCTGTTATTGGAGGGTCTAACTATCTGATACTTGTCGAAAACACAGTTAAGTTTAACAGATTCAGAATTACTCCTGAGCGAATCTGCTGTTATTGGAGGGTCTAACTATCTGATACTTGTCGAAAACACAGTTAAGTTTAACAGATTCAGAATTACTCCTGAGCGAATCTGCTGTTATTGGAGGGTCTAACTATCTGATACTTTTCGAAAACACAGTTCTTACTTGGCAATCTCGGTGGTTCAGCGACAAATCTCAGGACTTATAATGCTAAAATTTGGGTTTCGATACTCATGATGAGCAGAGCAGAGATAGTCCATTGCGTAGCTTTGCGCTTAACGACAACGAAACAAACCATTTTTTTCTACCTGAAAAATATCCCCCAAAATGCCAATTTACCTGAAAAATACCACAAAATACCAGTTCGGGCATGAAAAATACCACAAAGACCAAAAACTTTTCTGCCGAGTTGTATAAACCCACTTTAATATCTTAATCTTATGAATCACCATTATTCTGTAACTTTAAAAAAAAGCTACGCAATGGGCTATGTGGGCTCTGCCCACCATGGGTATCGAAACCCGGATTCTAGCGTTGTAAGTCCGCAGACATACCGCTGTGCCATTGGGGGCCTTAATTTGTTGAATTTAACATGATACATATGCAGCTTTGAAAGTCAAGAGACCAGGATAAGTACATTATTTGCTGAATCAGTCGTTTGACCTACGTTCATGAACACTAAACATTTGAACTGTATTTAGATTTATAGATCCTGCAGGGCTCTATCTGCGCTCTGGAATCGAACTCCTGATCTTAGCGTTGTAAGTCTGTAAATTTACCGTTGACCCGACAGTAGATCTACGTCCCTTGTGCTTCAAAACAACTACAGAAAAAAAAAATCACTTCGCAGAACAGAAATTTAATAACAAAACCCAACCAACCGAAACTAATCCACCCTGCGTCAATCGACGACCCATTTTTGGTTTCTTTCCAGATGCACGAAACAATCAAACATTGTGTACGCCTGTAAAGGAACACAGCTAGTAAGTAGGCCTACTTCCAAACAATAGACACTATTCTTTGTATCCACGCTGAGTTACTTGGCAACATTGCCCTACATCTGTGATAATCCACAGTTTCCAGTTTGAGTAAGATAACTGGAAGACGAGAGATACATATCCAGTTTTAAACTTCCGAGATATCAAAATTAAAAGTATCATAACGACGTTAGAGACCAATCTTCGCGCCACATTATATCATTCATCTTATCTGTAGCACACTTTTTCATTGTTTTTATGTCCTTCTACTAAAGCTATGCTCCAAATCTCTCCGAAACAGACTATTATTGGTCTTTTTTATGTCCTTCTACTAAAACTATGCTCCAAATCTCTCCGAAACAGACTATTATTGGTCTTTTTTATGTCCTTCTACTAAAGCTATGCTCCAAATCTCTCCGAAACAGACTATTATTGGTCTTTTTTATGTCCTTCTACTAAAGCTATGCTCCAAATCTCTCCGAAATAGACTACTATTGGTCTGACGGTCGCCATGTTTTTATTTGTCTAGTAACGGAAATAACAAAACTAAAACTTAATCTACCCTGTGTGGACTGACGGTCTTCCTCAACTACTTGTTTTTATTTCTTCCTAGACCTGCGAAACAGTCAAACATTCTGTACGCCTACATGGAACGCAGCCAGTATTATCTACTAATTTAATATTGGAATACGTTTTCCTTATTTCATGGTTGTCTCTTCGGATTCCCTAAATCTCTGTGGTACTTTACATCTCATAGCAAAGGGAAAGCAGTAGCGTAAATAATCCCTTGCAGCCCTCTTAGTTGCTGGGGAGGGGGCGAGCCAAAAGGAGGATCGAA